AGCCCATGGGAGACCCCAGCCCATTGGGGACATGTGCCCATTGGTGACCCCGGCCCATCGGGACTGAGCCCATGGAGGACCTGGGCCCTTTGGAGACCTGCGTCCATCCCCACCCATCGGGGATGTGTGCCGTTGCTGGGGGCCTGGCCAGTGCTGCCTAGCTCAGAATGAGTCTTCCAAACCCAGAAACTTCTAGAAAGTGTGCTGCCAGCTTGGTTGGCTTTACGAACCCCCAGAACCTTCATCTTTCAAGGAGGGCCCTCCCTGCCCATAGCTGGATCCAGGCTGTCCTGAGTGCCACAGCCCAGCACTGCCCACTGGAAGCTTGGACAAGCCGTCTGCAATGTGTGTTTCTTCTTAAAAAGGAGCCCGTTGGAGTCCACGGCACCTGACAAGTGACTGTGTTTGAAAATGGAACTGACCGTGGAGAAGCTTACTTGCTCCTAGAAGGAGATACATCAGATTCAAGAATATTTTAGGATAGAAGCGGCTTTCCTCTCTGCTCATGAAGGCTGCCAACTATCACCTGGCCCACTCCAGCAAACCCCCCCAACAGCAGCCCTGCCTTACCTGTCAGTCTTCACACACACACTCTCCCCCAGCCTTCCTGCCTGTAAGGGCCACCCCACACTGCACTCCCCCTCCAACAGCAGCCCTGCCTTACCCAACAGTCCCAGGGCCCACCCACACACGCTCCCCTACCCCCAGCAGCCCTGCCTTACCTCTAAGTCCTAGCAGTGACCACTGTGGCTGATAGTTGGGTCACACTCCAACAACTTACCCAAAACTTTTATTTGGCCCAAGGAAGATTGCCAGGCGAGTTCTCAAAAAGAACTTTATTGGTTATCCTGCCCGCCCCTCCTCTCAGTCTGTGTATTCAAGATTGAAAGTTAATATTTGAAACTCTGATCTGAATGAGAAAGACAGTGACTTCTAGCAGCGCCCCCCCCCCCCCAAGTAGAAATGATGTGAGGTTTGGCCTTATAGTGCATTGTCTCTGTGCGCTGTGGGAGGTTTTCCCAGTCTCTTCAGTAAGAGTACAGAAAAGTGGCCAGTGCTCCAGGGCTTGGGGAACAAAACTGTGTGTGAGCCATGTGATTGCTTGGGTGTTTGGACGACCTGATTAAACCTTGGCTTTAGAAACCACTGGGAAACAAGAAAAATTTGAAGTTTGTACTCAGATATTCTTGTCTTTGTGAACTTTGAGCGCTGAGGAAAGGTTTTGGTCTTGAAAAGCCCGATGAAAGGTCCAGACTAGAAGCCATGCTTGCTTGTGGGGAAGGGTGCAGATACTTGGAGGGAAGCGTCAGGGTTAGCAGCCGGAGTGTGCCTGTGCAGTAAAGGCTTAAAACCTCTTTGCTGACGGGTTGGAGCTGACTTACAGCTGACCCTCCACCAGGTTTTCAGAGGCGATAAAACGCACAGGAGGAGATTGTCCATCCTTCTCCCACAGAGCAGCTGGTGGATTCAAACTGCTTGCCATTGTGTGGTCAGTGCAACTCCATAGCACCGAGCCACCAGAACTCTCGCTCATTAGGAGATGATTACTGAGTTTGATGAAAATCAGGGACGTGTGTGCTCTGAGGTCGGGCAGAGGGGAAATCTTACAACTACAAGCAGGTCTTTGAAGGTCAAGGAACCTGGTGATTCTTTTGATGGTTAAGTGCTTTACTGCTCACTGGAGTTTTGGTAGTTCAAATCCATCAGCCGCTTCTACGGAGAAAAGCCTTGGACAAACTACTCCTGCAGAAGATTTCCACTTCCAGGTCGGCCCTGCCTGGTAGCGGATTCTGACTCATGGCTGCCCCGCGTTGGGTCTCCGAAGCACTAAGTCTTTGTGGGAGGAGACTGCTCATCTTTGTGCTGGTTGTTGCTAGCTGCTGCCTGTCCCCCCAGGAAACTCGAGAGCAGCCAGCTCTGCCTGCTGGGTTCCTGTGAATTAGAGTCGACTCAGTGACACGCAGCAGCATATGCAGTCTATCCAGGACTGCTGAATTCTTTTCCACTAGATGTCCGTTCACTCGGTGGCTTTCCCAGCCTCAGAATGCCCACACTACATTGTCTCATCATCGTTCACTGAAGTAGCGTTTAGAATTGTAGCTGCTGCCGCATCTTTTTTGTGTGTGCTTTGGTGAGTACCGCTCGATGGGAGGGTTTCCTCTTTAGTCACGTGGCTGCCATTCCCTGGCTCCTTTCACCTCGCTTTGGAGTGGAAAGAAAAGTGTCAGCTGGGTCCCCTCCGCTTGGATGGAGGCACTGGGAGTGACTTGACTTTGTTTCCTCCAACTGGAGTTTAGGGGTCATTTAGTGCTGTGGTTCCTGGGTGGCACAGATGTGCTTGGCTACTAACTAACCAGAAAAGTTTGCATTTTCCCGGTGGTGCAGAGGGGGAAAGGCTTGGTGATTTACTTCTGGAAGGCCGCTGCCATTGAAAACTCTGTGAGGCCACCTTTACTATGACACTCGGGGCCACCATGAGTGGGAAGCACCAAGATGACAGCAGGTTTGGTTTGGCCTTTGCTGCAATCTCAAAGGCATGCAGTTCAAATCTACCAGTGTTTCTGTGGGAGAAGGACGGCAGTCTCCTCCAGTATGAATTGCTGCCTCTGAAAATCCACTGGAGGCTCAGCTGTGGGTTGGTTCAGACCTGTCGGCACACAAGAACTAAGGTGTTAAATATGCCACGTGACTGTGGCCGTGCTTGTACAACTTCGGAAGTTGTGGGCAGTTTATCTTCTCAGCTACCATTCTATTTGGGACTCTTCCCCCATTTTTTTCAATCAAGGAAGAAGATTTTTATTTGCTCTATATCTTTTCTCATTTTGCTGTAGTCACAAATGTTGATCTTGGATGTCAAGACGTTTTGGGTCATGGTTAAAGGATTGGAAATATATCACAAAGGAGTTGATACTTTCAAAAATTTCTGGTTTTGTTACCTTTACCATATCTTACATAATATACTTCTGTACAATCGGGATGAGTGTGTTGGAGACAATGAGATTGGCACAGGACAGAGCAGAGTTTAGAGCTATTGTACATAGGGTTACTATGAGTCACAAGTGACTGACGGCACGTAACAACAACATTAAGATTTGGTAATTTTCCTATTATGAAATTCTTAGACATTTAATGCTTTGATTTGCAACTGTAGTTAATTTGTATGTTTACTTTCAAACAAAAATAAGCATCTATTAATAAACATAATATAAATTTGTGTGTGAAGTCGTTGAGACTTTGCCTCTTCAGT